TAACTGACAGTCTGGCTAACTGTCATCTAACAGCAAGCCAGCCCCTACCATAGTCCCATCTGAGGGAAACTGACTGGTTTCCCTTTTGGTAAAATTCTCTGCCTTCCTTCCCTCTTCTCACTCTATTGTATGTATCTAGGCCACTGCATCTCAAACAACAATACCTAAACTATTTTAAGAAATCACATTTCTGTTTTTCTATTATTATTTGTTTGCTTCTTGCTCACTCATTTTGAAATCTGTTACTCATCGCCAGAGAAGCTGTAGAAAGTGCCAAAGGTTTCCCACCCTGAGGAGCTCCTCCCTTTCTTTCCTCTCCTCCCCTCTCCTCTTCAGAGATCCAGTGCTAGCCCCTCTCTTCTCTGAAGCCTTCTCAGAATCAACTGAAAAGATGGAAATTTCCTTGGAAATTGCCTGAAGGTAAAAGAAGGTAAGGAAACAGCTAACCATCTGAAAGGAAGCCTGAGGGAAGAGAGATGATGGCAACTCTCAGTTATGAAATTTCTCTTCTTCTTGAAAGCCAGCCTCTGTCAGGGGAGACAGATGCATTGAGCTTCTGAGCACACAGCAGTGTTCCATTAGTCCTGGTTGATCGAAGCCCCCTGTTGTGGTTCTTAAACATTCACAAATTCTTTGCCACTCTTTCCTCCAAAAGGTAGAGCCTAGGGGTGCCTGGGGGCTCAGTCGGTTAAGTGTCCGACTCTAGGTCTCAGCTCAGGTCTTGATGTCAGGGTCTTGAGTTCAAGTCCTATGTTGGGCTCCACATTGGGCATGGAATCTACTTTACAAAAAAAAAAAAAATTAAAAAAATTGTTTTAATGTAAAAAAAAAGTAGAGCCTAATTCTCCCTGCCTTAAATGTGAATCAGCAAATCACATCTAATGAGTTGAATGTAGCAGAGTGATAAGGTATGACTTCTGACGTTAGGTCCGAAAAATTATTGCAGCTTTTGCCCTGCTTTGTCTCAGATGAACCGCTCTCGGGAAAGCCAGCTGCTACATCATGAGGTCTTCCAAGCATCCCCGTGGAGATACCCACATGGAGAGAAATTGAGGCCTCCTACCAAGAGCTAGCATCAGCTTGCCAGCCAGATGAATGAGCCATCTTGGAAGTGCATCCTCCAGCCCCAGTCAAGCTTTTGGATAACTGCAGCCCAGGCCAAAAGTTTGACCACAATCGTAGCTTGACTGAATCAGCACTGCCCAGCTCAGATGCATCTGGATTCCTAGGGGAGATAACAAATGCTTACTGAGGTTTTAAATTGCTAAGAAGGAGAGAGCTGGAGGGAGGTTGCAGGAGAAAAGGATTTTGCTTCCTGGTTCTAGTGTGTGCAACTGGAAATCTCCAGCTTCACCAGTGCCTGGTGCCTGGTGCCAGCAGCTAGCAGCTTCTCCCGGCACTGCCCACCTTGGGCAATAATGTAAGTGGTATGACTCCTCCCTTTTCAGTGTTTGCAGCTTCTCCAGCACCCAGCCCCTGCTATACACTTGGCTTCTCTGGCATGAGGCTCCTGCAGCAGTCACAGGGTGTCGAGCACCAGGCTTCCGTGGTACATAGAGGCTAGCTGCGCCCAGTGGGCAGTTTTCTGACTCTTTTTTTTAGAAGATTTTTTTATTTATTCATTTCAGAGAGAGAGAGAGAGAGCACGTGCGTGAGCCAGAGAGCAGGAGCGGGGGCGGGGGTGCGGAGGGAGAGGAAGAAGCAGGCTCCCCACTGAGCAAGGACCCCCCGATGTGGGGATTGACCCCAGGACCCTGGGATCATGACTTGAGCCAAAGGCAGATGCCCAACCATTTGAGCCACTCAGGCACCTGGTTTTCTAGCCTTTGAGTTGGCACTTCCCTGTGAAGAAGTTTCCCTGGCATCTTAGAGGGCAGCTTTCTGGCATGTTCCACTCTCATGACAGTACAGCAACTTTTCTGCCATCTGGTGAGCCATAGGCTGTGTTCTCACCAAGGTCTGGGTTTCAGCTTTAGTGGGGGTGGGGGGTGTCTCTTCCTTGCGCTATCCTAAGCCTCAGCCCTGGGAGTAGGGCTGCTCCTCCATTTATAATTCATGTATTCTTTACTGTTTACTAACCAAGTCTTTTGTTACTCTAATCCCCTGGTGTCATAATTATATTAAAATTTCCCTGTTCAGATCACTGTGTGGTTTCTCTCCCTTGATTGGACCCAGACTGACATGCAAAGTTTGGTCATAGTTGTTACACAGCCACAAATAACCAAACCACCCCTCCCCATCTCATCGCCTGCTGCCAACTCCCCTTTCATTACCATCAGCCAATTGCTATCTTGTGCCTATGCAGAGAAGGCTCTTCCTTCAAGGCTTTATAAGGAGTCAGATATGATCTTCTACAAAAAAACAAAGTTTATAAGATCAAAGATTTAATTGGCCAAATGCTGAATGAAAGGTTCAGATACGGAGTGCTACAAGAAGCAGCAAAGGCTGCTTGAGGAAAGCTCTAGGCTGCAGTAGGACATCATTCAACTCTGATGACACTATAGGACACAGCCCAGTGGAAAAGAGAGAAGGACATTGTAGCCACAGGGAACATTGTATCAAAAGCTTAGAGGCAAGCCCCCACCTGTAGGATTAGGTCAGCAGCGACTACTAGTTCCCTCCAGTTTGGCAGGAGAAGAGATTTTATATGGTAGGCTAGTGGCAAGCAATAGGACCAGATCATGAAGGACCTTAAATACAAAGCTAATTCATTTGGTGCCATCATGTTAAAAAAGGGGGGTGTGTGGCCAGTAGCCAAGTCTTTGAGGACAGAACTCAACCTACTTTTGGTATAAGTACAATTATACTTGTCAGATAATGAGACTTGGCTTTGGGTTTGAGAAAAAGTTCATCATGACAGTAGGGAACCCCTGAATGTTTTTGAGGATGATGTAATGTGGGGTTCTGAGATTAGCCTGGAGTATGTTGGGCTGGAGAGAATGGATAACAGAAGTAGAAAATGATACCCAAAAGTCCTGATGGAGGGCATAGGGTAGCAGCAGTGGGAAATGAAGAACTTGGATAGATGTGGGATGTTTGGAATGGCTGGTTGGATGTGGTGGAGAGAAGTTGAAGGTGATGCCCAATACTTAGCTGGTGACATGGGAACATGGGGAGTGGGATGAGGGGTGGATGGGATGATGTTTGCTTTTGACAAGTTCCACTGGGGTGACTGCAGTATATCTAAGAAGCAGGAAGAGGCAGCCTCAGGCCTAAACTCAGGAGAGAGACAAGGGCTGAGGATTCAGATCTGGTAGTGATAGCCACTCAGGGTGACAAGTCAAACTTTGGGAGATGGTGATGAGGTTGGCTCTCTGTTCAGCCCATCTTCATCAACAACCATCTCCCCACCCACCCAAGGGATGAAGTCCTGGGTCAGGAATTCAGTGGGGACATATGTCCTTAAGTAGTTCAGTCCAAAATGGACCCCTAAAAGCCAGAAGCACAGTCCTCCTCAACTGCCACAGATTCTGGTTTAGAATCCATGGTCCACTCCCATGGGGTTCAGCCCAAGGAACTGGAAAGCAAAAAGCCCAAGAGTAAGGGGTTCTAACCCTATTCTGGCCCCAGGCCAATCATGTAACCTTGAGCAAGTCACTTTCCCTCTTTGGGTTTGTTTTTTCCTTCTGCAAAATGCCAGGGTTGGCCTTGGACTAGACTGTGGTTTTAAATCTTGCCTCCGAAGAACAACAGTGTTCCATAGCTGGGCCAACATGTTCTTCCTCCTGAATCAAGTAGTAGCAGATGAAACAGCTCCAATTTTAGGGTTTTCTCCTAATGATTTCTTAAGCCATCAGCAACCACCACTGCTTGTTTTCCAGCAAGGGCTCAAGATCACACAATGAATGAACAAGTGGGAAATGCAATGAAAATAGGTGAAATCGGGAAAAATCAGAAAATTGGTGACCATATTTGGTTTGACTGTCTTCTTGTTTCTGGAGGTTTCATGGTTATGGTTTTTATATGACTCACACAGTCACTCTGGTTTCTAAAACTAAGTTCCAGTGGCATTTCAGGGTCTTCATAGAGGGTTCTGGGACTCCCCAGTGCCTGTAACCCAAAGAAACTGGAGAAACCTCAGACGTGATGCCCTAAGGACCTTTCCAGTGTCAATCTTTCACTCTCTCAACCTTTGATCTTTGATGAATAACTCTGCACGCAGAACACTGTGTCTTACATTCATTAATTCCTATGATCCCCATATAATCCTCCCAACAGCCTCATGAGATAAGTACTGTTATTATATTCTTTTTCTGGGTGAGGGGAGGCCTGAAGCTCAAATAGGATAAATGGCTTGCCCAAGGTCACACAGTTAGTAAGTGACAGAGCTGGGATGTGAACCTGAGAGTCTGATTCCAGAGCTCTCACCCTTCCAGTTGCCTGCAGTCGCTATAATTCATGCTGTCACCAAATACTTTCAGTTCTTCCTTGGACACATGGTAAGACTGATCTTCCCTACCCCCTTTGGCTAGCAAAATGTGAGCAGAAATGGGGAGCATCATTTCTGGTCTAACTTTTAAGAGCCAGGGATCACTGCCATATTCCCGTTTCCTTCTCTAGGAGTTGTAGATCACAATAAGAGCCCTTCTCAGCCTTGGTCACCGAGGGATGATTTGAAAAAAAGATACCTGCTCCCCCACACCCTGTCCGACCTGCTAGGGGCTGTGATAAAGAAATAACCTTGTCATTTTTTAAGCCACTAAGATTTGGATGTGGTTGACTGCTGTGGCGCAGGCTAGCCCATTTGGAGGAACCCAATGCAATACTCTCTCCTGTTGATTATCTTTGGCCTCAGTCCCCAAACACACCTTCTCTCTGAAATTCCCTCTAGGCATTGGCTCCACATTCAAAGTGGAAAAGCAGCAAGGGGAGAAGGGAATCTGTTCCCTAAACAGGGAAGTGGGGATGTGTTTTGGGAGATGTGCCCATGCTTTGACCTGCTCAGGGATGAAATCTACAGCCAAGCCCTTGGAAGACCCTAGAGAGAAACTGCTCCAAGATTTTCTCCCATAGTCATTTATTGGCTCTCCTTAATTATTTTCCCCGCTATGAAAGTAGGAATGACTGGGCCTGCAGGAAGAGGGCCGGACTCCCACATCCTGGGAGCACTGCAGGCTGACTATGACCTTGCAGGCCTGGATTTGAACTTCCTCCTCAGGGTGGATGACCAGGGCGAGTAGCCGGTCTGCCAGTCGTGACTCATCCCCAAAGAGAGCTTCATGCAAAGATTGTTCGTTGTAATGCCACTTCACGGCACGGTAGTGGGGTGAATTCCGGCCCTCACTTAGCCGCTCAGCAAACACCAGTACCTCGAACAGCAGACTCCCTGGCTGTGTGGACTGAAACAGGTTCAGGAAGTTGGAGTGCACCTGTGATGGGAGTAGAGAGACCATGGCAAAGAAATCCAAGACAAGTTCTGAAGTTCTCCCTCCTCCATCTTCCTATTGTCTCAACTCCCCAGTACACCCAAGTCTCAGTTTCAACCGTATAGGAATTTTTTAGTTTTCCTTTCATTGTCATTCTCCAATATAATGGCCCTGCGGTCATAAAACATGAGATAGGATCATAATATTGATCCAGGGAAACCTGTTGAGTCCAACATGAAAGCTTAGCATGTGGTTGATTTTTATAAATATTTTGTGTGCTCGAGAGGAATATATGCTTACTAATTATAGAATGTTCTAGGTGTGTCTAATGGTTCAAGCTTATTTGTATTATTCACAGCAAATATACCCTTACTGGTTTTAGGCTTTTCTCTCTTAACTGCTGAAAAAATTAATCTCCCAAATCTTCCATTGTGATAGGTATGTCAATTTTTCCTTATAATTATTCAGCCATGAGAAAGAAGGAAATCCTGCCATTTGTGACAACATGGGTGAACTCTGAGGACATTATGCTGAGTGAGATAAGCCAGACAGAGAAAGGCAAATATTGCATGGTGTCACTTATTGGTGGAATCTCTAAGTAAATAAGTAAATAAGTAAATAAATATTCACACTTGGAAACAGAGTAGGATAGTGGTTACTAGGTGCTGGTTGTGTAGAAGAAAGAGGGAGACATTGGTACAAGCTATAAATTGAATAAGGTCTGGGGGTACCTAGGTGGCCCAGTCAGTTGAGCATCCAAATCTCGATTTTGGTTCAGGTCATGATCTCAGCATCTGAGATTGAGTCCTGTGTTGGGAGCCATGCTGGCTGTGGAGCCCATCTGAGATTCTCTCTCTCCTTCTACTCCTCCCCCTGTGGCTTGTGCTCTCACTCTTTTTAAAAAACATTTTTTGAATAAAGTCTGAAGATCTAATGTAAAACATAGTAATTATAGTTAATAACACTGTATTAGATAATTGAAATTTGCTGAGAGTAGAACTTAAATGTTCTCACACACACACAAAGATACATACGTGAAGTGATGTGTTCATCAACTAGATGATGAGAATCCTTTCACAATGTGTCTGTGTATGTATATATATATAAAATTGCCACTATGTACATTTTAAATATTACATTTTGTCTCTTCGCTATACCTCACTAAAGCAAAAAAAAAAAAAAAAGGAAAATATTTCCTTGTCATTCTATCATGTTTTGCCATATAAATTTTGAGTTTATGTTATGGGGTTCATATAAGTTTAGAGTTCCTTTATCCTTCTGAACCCTTATTATGCAGTGACCCTGTCTATCCTAATAATGGTTTTTGTTATAAGTAATTTTTCTCTAATATGAAAATACCTACATTTACTTTTGTTTTGTCACCTGGATTCCTGGCTCTCAGAGTTCAGAAAGCCCCTTAAAGAGAATCCCCCTCTCAACAAAATGAACTCTCATTCTCTTGGGAGAATGGAAGAGGGGATGGTTTTCAATATATCTAGTGCAAAGGCAGGAAGAGAAACAAGATGATCTTGCGAGGACTGAGTCTGCCTGGGGTATCCATGATTCTTCCTTCCCTAGGATGTGAGTTGGTATCCATTAACCTTTCTTCAGTTCCTTTCTCACCTGGCAGTTGAGAATATCATACAGAAGGTCATTCTTCTGTGCCAGGTAGCTCAGCAATCGTATGGCTTGCACCTGAATAAAAGAAAGAGTAAAGCATGAGAAGGCAAGTCAAAGTGGGCCCGAGCAGGGAAGGCACAAATCTCTGTTCCTCCCTCTAGGTGCTAGGCCAGGCAGGGCTGGTCAGGAGGGGCAGGGCCAGGGCCATGGTTCTTAGGCACCTGTGCCAGGATATAGTTGGACTGCAGGATCTCCATCAAGGCAGGCATCACCCGTCGCAACTGTGGATGTACGTAGTCAGGCAGTGGGAGGCTGTTGAGGAGTCTGAGGCCTGCAACATGGAGCTCTGAATCCCAGATGGTAGAGATCAGTTCCAGCACCTTGATGGTGTGTTCCTGGAGGGTTGGGTGGGGGGCGGGTAGAGGGGATGAGAAGGGAAGGGTCTGCTTTTATGTGGTGATCCCCAACACTATCCCAGCCTCTGTGTTCACTCTTCCCTACCCCTACCTATGATGCCCAAGCCCAAACCCAGGAGACAACTCTCTTTAACTTAAACTCTCAACATGACTTGACTTGGTTGGCCACACCTGCGTCCTTTCTGCACCTGGCTTCTCTTCCACAAATTCCTTTCCTGGTTCTTCTGCCCAACCTTTCCTTCTCTATCTTCCTCACTCTTTCAGTGATATTATCCAGACTCGGTGTTAAATACTGTTGATGCTGGTGCCTTTCAAATTTCTGTCTCTATCCCAAACCTTTCTGAGAAAACTCATATTCTGAGTTTTCTTATATTCTGGTGTCAATTCCACTTCTTATCAGAATGCTTCATTCTTTCTCCCTTCCTTCCTCCCTCTCTCTCTCTTTCGCTCTTTCTTAGATTTTATATTTACATAATCTCTACACCCAACACGGGGCTCAAACACACAATTCCAAGATAGAGAGTTGTATGCTCCACCGACTGAGCCAGTCAGACTCCCCTTCCCAGAATGCCTGCTCGACCATCTCAGAGTTAACACATACCTAGCCCGCAAACCTGCTTCTCCCACCACCTTCCCTGCTTTTGGTCACAACTCCCTTCCCCCTACTCAGGTCAAAAGCCTGTAATCCTCTTTAACGACTTTGTTTCTCTTCACTCTGCTTTTTTAGTCCTTCAGAAAATCCTGTCAGCTCTACCTTCAAAATCTGTCAACAGGTTTTATCAAGATCCATTGAGGTCTATCAAGCTGCGTCTACCACCTGTTCCAAGCCACCATCAGTTCTCACCTGCCCTTCTCCAATAGCCTCCTGTCTCCTGGCTTCCATCCTCCCCCATCTATTTCCAGAACAGCAGACATGTTAGACACATCACTCTTCTGCTCATGTCCCTAGTTCTTTCAAGGTAAGAGCTAAAGTCCTTCCAGTGGTTTACGAGGTCCAATATGCCCCGCCCCTCTCCCCTCACAATGTCTTTGACCTCATCTCCTATTCTCTTCTTTGCTCCCACGGTTGCTGTCACAATGGTCTCTTAGTCATTCTTTGAGCATGCCAAGTACACACTTATCTTGTTTTTGCACAGGCTGTTTTCTCTACTTAGAATGCTCTCTCTTCCAGATAGTTAGAGCTCACTCTCTTACCTCCTTCAAGACTTTGCTTTAATGTCACCTTCCCAGTCAGGCCTTCCCCAACCACTCCCCACCCAGCCTTCCTTATCCTCCATCTTTATTTCATTCTTCTCCACAGCACTGTCACAGGCAACACACTTTTTATTTTGAAACTTTTTATTTTTGAATAATTATAAATTCTCAGGAACTTGCAAAAATAGCATAGAGACATCCTGTGGGCTCTTCCCCCAGATTCCCTCAAAGGCTAACCTTATGTACTTACATACAGTATCAACACTGCCTATATCGGTACTGGCTCAAGGTGTCTGTACAGTCTTTGTCATTTTGTCACATATGGGGATTCATGTAACCACCACGGCCATCAACAGATTGTTCCATCAGAGTTGTCCTCTCACCACAGAGATTGCCCTCATGGGACTCCGTTGTAGTCACATATCCCTCCCCCACCACACTCACCAAAACCAGCTCTACCCATTGGTAGCCACTCATCCATTCTCCATCTCTGTAATTTTGTCCCTTCAAGAATGTTACATGTTGAGTCCTGCTTTGTGACCTCCTGAGACTGGTTTTTCACTCAGTAGAATGTCCTTGAGATGCAAGTTGTTGAATCAATAGTTCATTCCCCTTTATTTCTGAGGAGTGTTCTGTGGTGTGCATTTGCACAGTTGAACCATTTATCTATTGAGAGACACTTTGGTTGTTTCCAGTTCTTGACTGGTACAAGAGGGGTGCCAACAAATAATTGCTTATGGGCTTTTGTGGGGACGAGTTTTCATTTCTCTAGGATAAATGCCTCAGAGTGCAACTGCTGAGTTGTTTGGTGAATGTATCGTTTGTTTTTTGTTGTTTTTGCTTTTAAGTGGGCACCACGCCCACCAAGGAGCCCAGCACGGGGCCTGAACTTATGACCCTAAGGTCAAGATCAGAACTGAGATAGAAAGTCGGGTGCTCAACTGACCGAGGCACCCAGGCACCCTGATGGTTCATTTTTTAAAGAAATGGCCAGACTATTTTCCAGAGTGGGTGCTGTACCATTTTACATTCCCACCAGCAACGTACAAGAGAGCCCATTTCTATCTTCACCAGCACTTGGTATTGTCACGAATTTTGAGTTTGGACCATTTCACAGGCGTATAGTGCTATCTCATTGTGGTGATAATCTGCATTTCCCTGAAGCCTACTGATGTTAAACATCTTTTCATGGGCTTATTTGCAACTTGTAGATCTTCTTCAGTGCAGCATCTCCACGTTTTTTGCCTGTTTTCTAATTGGATTTTTTAATATTGAGTTTTGAGAGCTCTTTATATGATCTAGATAGGAATCCTTTGTCAGATATGTGCTTTGCAAATATTTCCTCCCTGTCTACAGCTTGTCTTTTCATCCTCTCAAGAGGGTCCCCCACGAGGCATATGTTTTTAGTTTTGATGAAGTCCAGTGTATCCATTTTTGTTCTTTTAGATCATGCTTTTGGTGTTATTTCTAAGAACTCTTCATCAAGCTCTAAGTCCCCCAAATTTTCTCTTTTGAAACTGTACCACCACCCCCATACCAGCTTCCTTATGGCCCTACTTTTATTTTTCCCCCTCCACTTGTTATATGAAATATGCTGTATATTTTACTAATTTGTAAAATTTGCCTGTCTTGCCCTGCTAGAATGTAAGTTTCCCCCGGGGAGGGGGATCTTTCCTCCTTGCTGTTGCATCTCCAGTGCCTAAACAAAAAGTAAGTGCTCAATATACATCTGTTCAGTGAACAAAGGGATCTTGGCTTCTGAGATGCAAGATGCTTGGACAAGATGCTTAGGAAAGAGACAACCCCACAAGCTGTATTTTTTGTGAGCCACATAAAAGGAGGGCTAGAATCCTGGAATGAGGATCACAGTATTCCCATTAGTACCAGTTTCTGCCTGCCCCAACCCCTTCCTGTCCACTGAAACCTGAAGGACAGTTAAGAGTTCGTCTGGGTGGTGTTTCAGGCAGAGGAAACAGCAGGTGTAAGGCGTGGGGGGTGGGAGAGCATGAAACATACAGTATGAACAGCCAGGACTGCGGCAGGGAGGCGGAGATCATGCTCTTCATGCTGACAGCCCTGAGGAATACCAAGCGAGGGGCTGATGGGATCAGATCCCTTGGGATAGAGTGGTCTGACTTAGGGAATGGGGGCAAGGTCCATTTTGGACATGCTGGGTTAGAGGGTCCCTAGGATATCTAAGTGGAGGAGTTGGCCCTGGATCTGGCGGTTTGGCAATAAAGCAGAGGTGGCCAGCAAGTGGAGACTGAGACCTTTCCCCCCTCCCAAAAAAAATGTTTTTTCTTTATATTTTTAAGTAGGCTTCACCCTTAACATGGGGATTGAACTCATGACCCCGAGATCAAAAGTCGCATGCTCTAATGACTGAGCAAGCCAGGCGCCCCTCTCCAAAAAACCTTGTTGCCAAAAATCAAAGTGTGAGAATATCAAATTTGGGGGAGGAAATATAATGCAATGGGAAGACTCAGGCAGAGCTGGTAGAACGTGTAAATCTTGAGAAGTTGGGCGTACATTATCATCTAGCCATCCCACTCCTGCGGATCCTAGAGCAACTCCTCTATCCTAGAGGGAGATGTGTACAAGAAGCCTCATGACACAATGTGGAAATAATTTCAGGGCCCACCCACGGGCAAGTGGATAAATATAATTGCAGGATATTCATGAACTAGAACTATATAGCAGTGGAAGATGAGGAAACAGCTAGCACACCAAGAAAGGTCAATCCTTCAATGCTGGGCTGGGGCGAGGGGGAGGCAAACCAGAGACTACCAACTGTGTATTTCCAGTTTTATGGAGCTTAAAAAATCCCAAATGGCATTTTGCCTATTCTTGACATTTTGCCTTGCCCTGATAGAATAGGATACCTAAATATACAGCAAAACTATACAGCAAGTCAAGGAATCGATGCACAAAACATGCAGGAAATAATTGTCTCTGTTTGGGAGGTATAGTTTGAGATCAGGGAGGGTCTCTGGAACACCTAACCTGTTGGCCAAGTTCTAGTTCTCAGCCATGCATTTTGTTTTATGGTTCTTTCCACGGTACATATATAAAATGTTAAGTCTTCAATATTTTACTGATTTTTCATCCAGGAGAAACCAATCGCTAGAGAGAAATTTAGAAGTCAAGGAAGGAAGAGGGGTTCTTTTTTGGAGGGGGTTAAGGTTGGAAGAATGAGAGCATGTTGAATCCTAATGGGAGGGAGTAAGGGGGAGGCCATTTCAAAGAGGCTAATTAAGAAGAGAGGCCATTAAAGAAGGGGAAGGGATCCAGGACTGAGATAGACGCTGATCCTAGACAGGAAGAAAGCCATAGCATCAGGAGGAAAGGATGGATGGGGAAACAGGTAAGCCTGGGAACATTTCGTGGCTTCTATTTTCTCTATGTGGTGGTAGTGAAGAGATCCACGGCTTAGTCACCAGGATCAGACTAATACAGTACAGGGGTGGGGGTTGGTATATCTGATCCTCGTCCCTGGTTTTAGGCACAGAGCTCCTAAAATGCTTGCATTTGGCGGCTGGGGGGGGGGGCATGCCTGGGTGGCAGTCATCTGGGCATCCAACTCGGTTTCGGCTCAGGTCACGATCTTAGGGTCCTGAGATGAAGCCCTGGGTCAGGCTCTATGCTCAGCACAGTCTGCTTGAGATCCTCTGCCTCTCCCTCCCACTGCCTCTCCCTGTGCTCTCTCTAAAATAAATAATATCTTTTTTTAAAAAAATCCTCGCAATTGCCCGATAGAAGATCCTTTTATTATTCTCTTAGTTACTCCAAACCTTATGCTGATTGGGTGACTCTTGGTGGATGGTAGACAGCTTCCGGATGGGGGCACTCGTGGCCAGAAAGGCCAAGCCAGGTTTAGGGGGTTGAAGGAGGAAGGGAGGGGTTTGAGATTGAGTTTGCTTACCAATGGCCAATGATTCATCAATCACACCTACATAATGAAACCTCAACAAATACCCCAAACAACAGGGCTCAACAAACTTCTGGGTTGGTGAACACATTAAGGGGCTAACACGGTGGCTTGCCTAGAGAAGGTCCAGAAGCTTCGCACCCTTCCCCCCATACTTTGCCCTACATAACTCCTCCATTTGACCACTCCTCGGTTGTATCTTTCCTAATAAACAGGTAAATGTTAAGTGTTTTCCTGAGTTCTGTGAGTCATTCTAGTGAATTATCAAACCAGAGGAGGAAGTCTAAATTTATAACTGAATGTACGGGCACTTGTGACTGGCATGGGAAATGGGGGGGGGGTTGTCTTGTGGGACTGTCCGTTGTCCTTTACTCGTGGGGTCTCTGCACTAACCCCAGGTAGACAGTGTCAGAATTGAATTGAATTGTTGGACACCCCCACTGGTGTGGTAGAATTAGTTGGTATCAGAAAGACCCTCTGCGCTTTCCACTGTTTAGGGCTCAGAGACACTCCAGCATCCCAGTTCAGTTTCAGCCTGAGAGTCAAAGACTGATGACCCCCGAGGGTCTCACTTACTACAAAGGAAAAGGTTATTTCTGGATCACAGACTCAGACCCAAACAACTTCTGGAACATAACCATTTGCCCTATGCCCATTAAAGAACCCATGGACTATGGACATCTTGTGTGCTCTAATCCACCACTTGCCTCTGGGCTCACCTGGATTTTGAGCCTGAATTTTCTGATGCCAGAGAAAGCTTTAAGTGTGTTCAGAGCTTGGATTTTGACACTGTTGTCCTTGTCATCTAGCATGGAGCCCACCAAGCTGATGTCATCGGCAGTACAAGAGGAGGCCTGGAGTGGGCCAGGAGAGACAGAAGAGGCAGGAGAAGCGGGTGTCCTGGGCCCACTGCATCCACCCCCCACGTCAACAAGACCCCTCAGCACAAGCCCTCCCGCCATCGGCCAGAGAGACAGGTCCCAGGACACAGTGTGGCCAGCCAGGAGGGTAGGGATTGGGCGTAGCCCCCAGGGGCTGGGCTGGCTGGGAGGGGCCTCCTGCTTCCTTGCCCTCACCTCGGCCTCCAGCAAGTACACACAGCGCGTGATACTGTGCAGGATCATACTCTTGGCGTACTCATCCTGTTTGTACTCCAAGGAGTTGAGCAGCCTCCGGAGCTCACCTGAGTCCCGCCCGTGCCGCTCGCGCTCCACTGCCAGGCCTAGACAGCCACCCCAGCCCAGTTCAGGCTGTGGACTCAGAAGTGATCAAAGAACGGGGTTGGGAAGCGGGGTAGAGGGACCTGGGGATGAGGCTGCCTTGACTTTTCTGAAGATGCCTTCTTGCTCTACGCAGGATGCCCCCCCCCATGTACAGCTGAGCCGTGTGTGTTGCAGGAGGAGCGCTATGTCTAATGCTGTGTTGTTCAGATCATAAGTGTCCTAGTTTTATATGTTTACTGTAACAATTTGCTGGCCTATGGCAGTCACATGCACTCTTTCGTCATAATCACTGCACGGCAGTGACAGCCCAACAGATGGCAATGAACAAGTCTTGCAGAAGGGTGCTTCTTCTGCGGACTAGTGGAGGCTCTCGGCATGCAGGTGGCCCAGCTTTCCCTTAGGGAGTACTGCTAATGCCAGGTGTCCAAGCAGGGGCATCCCGGGAGCTAGAGGGCAGGCAGAATCAGGAGACCCGCCAGATGAGGCCCGAGGATACACTTAGAGTGCCATCTACTCCCTGGGGACTTGGAGCTAGCATCTCTACGGTGGGTTGGAGGCAGATGGAGAAGAGGAAGGAAGGACAGAGGAACTTGGAGGAGTCACCTTTGGGCCCTCCCACACTGGAGGCCTCGGGAGCAGGTGCCTCCTGGGGCAGAGCCCTCTCCCTAGGGCCCGTACACTCACGGGCGATGCAGATGGGTGAGGCAGTGCAGAGGGGCGGCTGGCATTTGATACCAGCCTTGATGGCCTTGTAGAGCAGGTAGATGAACCCAGCACCTGTGGCCAAGCCCACTACACTTTTGCGGATGTCCATTTGCCCCAGGTACTGGGGGATGCTCATACCCATGTCTTCAGTGTGGCCTTGCGCCCGGGTGGGAGCGAGGCCCAAGGCACCTGGTAAGGGCCTTCTGGAACCAGAACTCTGGCGGGGCCAGGAACCAGGATACCAGAATCAGAACCTGGGCAACAAAGGAAACTGGGGAAACGGAATGGAGGGTGGTGATCAGGAAACGGGGCAACCAAGAGTGCTTGGAAGGGGAAAAGATTCGTCTTCAGAGGCTGTTGGAAATGAAGCTCAAGACTCTAGGGGAATAAAAAGTCTGGAGGGGGGGAGCAGGAAGGTCCTTCACATCCCCTTTCCTTTAGGGGAAGCAGGTTGGTTGGGTCCCGGCAGGCAGTGCTAGACGCTGCTTTCCTCCATTAGAGGGCAGCAGAGGCCCAATTTCTGGCCTGGTTCTTTGGGAAGTTTCTGGGAGGGGTATTTGGGATATGCCCATAGGCAATACCTTTCTCTCACTGACGGACTTCCCATCTTTGATTTCCTCACCATAGATCCACTGCTGGGCCTCGATGTGCTTTGCAGGCAGGGCCCCCTTCCATCAAGGGGAGCACTTCATAAAGTCCTGCAGTCCTCAGGCAAACCCATCATTTTCGGCAGCTGTAGTTCCCCTGTAGTAGGTAATATCTACCCGTCTGGCCAGAAGCTCTTGAGGGCAGCCCTCTCCGCATCTCCAACATCCGGTAGAGTCTTGCACTTAGTAGGTGCTCAAATCATGACTTCTGTCATTCTTTGAAGATTTGAGGGCAGAACCATGACAAGAGATCTGGGTACAGGGATTCCAGGCCCATTTGGCCAGTGTGACCCTGGAGGAGGAAGGGACTGCCCCTGCCTGGGTCACAGTCTGTGACTGTTCGCAACCTGGGGGGATCCACATTTATCATTCTCTAACTCCAGGATTACAATCTGGGTAGGTGTATGCCTTTCCATGATGGGGACCTAAATCTGGGAGTACCACAGTCCAGGGCCCCGCACCCTAGCGCCCAGCACGCTGTCCCATTCAACCCTACAGGACGAGATGAGGCTTGAGGCCCCCCGGGGAGTCAGAAAAATGCCACTATCCCAGAAACATGAGAATCCCGCTTTGGAGGACTTGGTCTCTCTCAATAGGATGGGGCAGGTGAGAGCAGACCCTTCTCTCTTTTCCCCTTCCCTGCTTGTCCCCATACCCTGCAGCCTCACCTCCTCATACAAAACAGGGAGGTGACAAGTCCCAAGCCAGGCTCAGGCCCAGAACCAGCATGGAGCATTGTTATGCCAGAAGAGGGCTTTACCTGCCTGGCTTTGAGCTCCTGTTGGACGGTTCTAGGCCCTGGGCTACCTGGGCTTGAAGGAGGTGGGGAAGTAGGGAAACAGTATCCTCAGGCTGCTGCAGCCGGCAAGCCCTGCTTGCCCAGAGCCTTCACCCATCACACCCCAGGATGTAGGCAACACTCCCAGGTGGCTATTCTCTTTCCTTCCTCTCTACTGTTCCTGGCCCTCCTCAAGGTCATTCGTAGCACTCTCCCCAGCCCCGAGGTGGGTGACTACTGCAAGGAGGGGTAACAGAAGCCCTTGGAGGTCTCCAGCTGCCATAAAACCACCTGTCATGACCTATGAACTCCAGGAAATGGCTGCCTGCTGGGACAGCTTTAGGTTCTAAGGCTACCCTAGTGGATCTGAGGATAGATCCTTCAAAACAAGGTTCCTCCCTTTCTCTGGGGTAGCACCCAGAGCGACTGGCCTCTCCAGTCCATGGACTTGATTCTGCAACCCTCGTTTCCTAAGCAAATGCAGCGCTTACCTGCTTTTTAAAGGTTTCCGAAAAAGTTCCTTCTTGGCTTTAATCTAACACTTTTCTGCTACACCTAAGGCCCACTTCTTTTGGTTCTGCTCTCAAATGCTGCAGAGGGATGGAGAGGCAGAGGCCATGCCCAGAGTGACATTTTCACTAGTTTATAGCACAGTGAAAAAAACAAACAGAGGGAATTCCATTTGTTGGTGTGAAGTCAATGACTGTCCCTCCTTGGGAATGACTGCTTTTTATTTAGATGAGTTCTTTCTTATTTTGGGAATTAAAATGCACTTGCTTTTATGAAATGATGATGCTAATAGATGGTAGTTGTGTTTTGAATGTTCTTAGGGTGCCCAAATGAAAGCTGCAACTTTGCAGGAATGTGGCAAAGATCTGGAGTCACTGACTAGAGAGAAGTCTGAGATTCCAATTACACACACTGTCAGCCTCCAAGTTTCTTACCTGCCTTCACCAAGGCAAAAAGTCCTGGGCTGCCTGACAACACACCTCTCTGTCATCTCCCCTAGCTTTCTACTTTCAAAGCTGTTGTTCCCATCACTGGCAGGTGCAATTTAGTTTAGTGAAGGAGAGGGTGGGCTCTAGCCAATTACCAGGGTTCAAAACCAGTTCAGCCACTTAGTTTTGTGCTTTCTTTGTACCTGACTTTCCCTACCTGTAAAATGGGAATAATAATGTCTGTCTCATGGGGTTGTTTGTGAGGATCAAGTACTTGAAACCACCCAGCACGTACAGCTCATCAAATGTCAACTGTAGTAATTACCATTACAAGCAGGTTTCACCTGGACAAAAGTGTTGGGTGTGGGAAAGCAGTGAGTACACAGATGGTGGGCCTCAATGACACCTGAAAGACACATTATTCATCGAACCTACCCCTCCCACTCTGCTCTTCTTCAGGCTAATCAGTCCCAGCAACCCTAACCCATTTAATTGCCTTGAACAACTCTGGAGCCCCCTTTAAAGTCCTCCCCGCAAATACTTATCAGCCTATTCCCCACCTATGAAACCTCAAACTACCAGGCTCTGGTAATGACTGTTTCAGCCTAGTTAATTAGAAAAGCCTAATGTGGGGTGCCTGGGTGGCTCAGTGGTTAAAGCCTCTGCCTTCGGCTCAGGTCGTGATCTCAGGGTCCTGGGATCGAGTCCCACATCGGGCTCTCGGCTCAGCAGGGAGCCTGCCTCCTCCTCCTCTCTCTCTCTGCCTGCCTCTCTGCCTACTTGTGGTCTGTCTGTCAAATAAATAAAAAAAAAAAAAAAAAGAAAAAAAAAAAAAAAAAGAAAAGCCTAATGTACTATTGGGGGCCTACGGTGCAAAACACAGTGCTAGGCCATTATGATGGGTGACTCTAGAAGGGACCGGCGCTTGAAGCCAAGGGGAAAATAGAGTATTCTATAATGAAAAGCTCACTGGAGTCCCGAAGGGATTGGGTTTGGGCAAATTCCATAATCTGAGCCTCAGTTTCCGCCTCCGGAATACGGGTCTATTGACACCTACGGGAAGTGCCGCTGTCAGACTGAATTTGAGAACCTATGTTGTGACTCTCGGTGAACACGGGGCAATTCACACGTGTGAGCCCCCACCCTGCCCCGGTAGAAAGCCAGAAAGTGAAGAGGCGAAAGACTGGGGGTGCCGCCCGCGCCCTGACGTAGACCCACACTCTCCGAGACCGTCCCCTCCCAGCTGGCGCTTACCCCGGCCCAGGAACCAGATTCGGGGGCCTCTCGGTAGCTCGTTACTCCAGCGAAGGCGTGTGGACCGGGAGGAACGCAGCGAAAGCACTGGGAGAGGCGCCCCCAGAGGAGAAGGGCCGGTGGGGGGGGGCGGAGGCCAAGCCTTTCCCCGCCCCGGGCCTCCCCTCCTCTAGCTCCCCCACCCTGCCGGACTACCTCCTCCCCAGGCGCGCATCCGGCGGCGGGCACAGGATGTTCTTTCGCTCCGTCCCCCACCCCCCGCCCCCGCTCTCACTTTCCCTTCGCTCCCTTCCCCCCACTCCCGCTGCGCCTGGAGCCGGCACCTTGTTTAACCCCTTCCCTCCCGCGCTTCGCAGCGCCCCGGCGCCCCTCGGGCTCCCACCCTTCCCGCCAACCCCCCAGGACGCGGAGCGTGCCTAGGGCTGCCCGGGAAGGGGGGGGCCTAGGCTGAGCGCCCGCCCGCGTTCTCCGGATCCACTGGCCCGGCGAGGGTGAAGGGGTGATAAGGGATCCCAGAGGCTGAAGCCGGCATTCTCCGGACCCCAGCCAGTTCACCGGCGCCGGGAGGGCTGCGGGTGGGGGGCCGCCCTAGAGCGAGCCACGCGTCCGCGGTGCGCGGGAGGGGAGGGGGGTAAGCGCGCAGCCAGGTGGGCGTGGCTAGCTCCAGGCCCGGAGGCGGGCGGTAGGTTCGAAGACCCCAATCTCATCCCTTCCTCTAGTCTGGGTATGTAGGAGCCAGGGCTCCGGGAGAGGATGGAGAGAGATCACGCCCCTCACGTACACGTCACTGTTTCCACGGCAACCAGGGCGGGGGAAGCGAGCTGGAGAAGACTTTCGAGAAAGGAGGCTACCAGAGGTTTTGGGACCCGGGTGGGGGTGGGGTGGGGAGGCGGCGGGGGCGGGCTTTTCAATCTGCTTCTCCATTCGCTGCTGCAGCACGAAACTGAAGGGAGGACCGGTTCTGCTCATTCAACAAGCGCTCATTGAGCTTGGGCTCTATGGGCGTCCTAATGCTTAGGCGCTGGGCTACGGTGCCTCGGGATCCGAACCCTGCCCTCACCCGTCATTGTAAGTTAGGGTAGGATGGCCTTGCGCCCCGGGTCAAGTCTGTGGAACTGGTGTAATGATTAATAGTGTCCTTTTTCACGCTTAAAAGTGTTCCACTATGGAGGGGACTAGTTACGGAACTTTGTCTCCCAATACCGGAAAGACTCCGGCCATACAGGGAAGGAAGACAAGCCATTGTCTGATCACTATGCAACAGGCACTTTCTTGGCCCTTTGTATTATCTGTGTTATCTTTGCCCCTTGTCTGCAAGGTAGGTATCACTTGCGACTTTTTTAGATGAAGAAACTGGCTCAGAGAGGTTGAGAGACTTGCCCAAGGCCAAACAACCAAGTATTAGAATCCAGATCCAGGTTTATGCGCCCTCCAAAGTTGGAATGTCCTACCTTATGCTTCCTTCTCAAATTAAATAGATTATATTAAATACGTAAATGAGATACTATATAGATTATAAGGAATTTATAATCTATGAGGTTGAAAATATTACAAGACAAAATAAGCAATAAAGTAAAGAGATTGAAAGCAGCTCATAAGGCTCTGAAGGAAGCTGACAAAATGATCAACATTGGGTGGAAATGATCAGAGCCTTCCTGCAGGAGGTGGATTTTGAAGGATCATGGACATCAGACCAGGGACCCAGAGCTAGGCAGGCTGGACTCTCCAACTGTGAAAAGACCCCTCTATAAACCCAAAGTCACTGGTTGTGCCCACTCCCCTTTCGGCCTTCCACCCCCTTCAGTGGTTTTCTGCTCCCAGTGGGCACTCAAGGGCTCTGCAGTTGGCATTTGGCACAGACTCCTTGATGTTAACTTGGATGTCCGCTTCTCCCTTCCCCACCCTCTCTGAAGATTGGGTAGATAAAAAATTGTGACTTTTCAAAACAGAAGGCCTGAGCAAGTACCAGGAACCAGCAGGCTCAATTGGAATGAGGAGGCCGAGTCAGGAGAAAAAAAGTGAGAGAGGAGCACAATCAAGTGGGTTGGTCACTTGACTAATATCCGCTGCCCTTCTGCTATGAACTAGGCCCAGGGCTAGACTCTGTGATCTGGGCATACCACGAATGAGCCCAGGTCCCCTCATGTGGAACACACAGCCGAGAGGCTGGTGTACCCAGTGCGCTTGGCTGAGGAGTCTGAAGTTGAAAACATACAGTTTTCCAGTAGGCTAGTTAGGAGAAAGGAAAAACGTGGGTCAGAAAGGTGTGGCAGAGGCTGTGGGAATTTGAGCCAAAGGTGGAACCTCTGGGATAGAGAGGAAGAAGTGGATGAGAAAAATAAGGAACAATACATCTTGTAATAAAAGCAACAAAGGGAGGAGTTTGGGCATAGATCAGGTATAGGATGGTGAAGGAGAAAAAATAGTTAAAAATTAACCCACCTTCGGGAGCCTGGGTGACTCAGTGGGTTAAGCCTCTCTGCCTTTGGCTCAGGTCATAATCTCAGGGTCCTGGGATGGAGCCCCACATTGGGCTCTCTGCTCAGCAGGGAGCCTGCTTTCCGCTCTCCCTCTGCCTGCCTCTCTACTTGTGATTTCTCTCTGTCAAATAAATAAATAAAATCTTTAAAAAAAAATTAACCCACCTTCATGGTGAGTTTGGGGGATGGGAAAGTCACCGTAGGTAATGGGGAAGAGCTGGTGTGAACGATATGAAGATGAGTTCAGCCACTTCCAGGTCATGTGAGGACAGGTGTCCCATAGGTAACTGAACTTGGAGATAATGGGCTGCCTTGTGAGAGTGTCCCTGTCACCGTGGGTATGCAGACAGCTTCAGAACAATGACTGACCTGGGATATCATGGACAGATTTCATACATTAGGTAGAAGGTTGGAGCTGATAACAGTTAAGGCACCTTCTGGCTGGGAGATTCGGTGAGCACTGGCTGGATGAACACGTATATGGGAAAAATGACTGTCTGTGTGGGAAGGGGGTCCATGGCCCAGACCTGCATTGGCATCCATCTTCTCAGAGAATGCCAGAGATGCCATCAGATGGCCCAGGGGCATGAGGCCCAGGTGAGGCGCTTCTGCTGCCTGGGGTCCCTCCCCCAGCCCCACCCTCCAAGGCCCTGGAGCCCAGGCCTGTGCTGGCTGCCAGGGCCTTTCCTGGAACTCAGCAGAGGACGGAGCCCCTCCCTGCCAGCTCTGGCACACTCCAGGCACAGCGTGTCCCCTGGGGCACCTAGCAGACACCCCAGGAGGCTAGGGTGTGGGACAGATGTACGCCTCCAGGAAAAGTCCAGCTCTGGGCTGTCATCCTCACAGTGGCCCCACCAGGACAGCAGGCCCAGAAGAGGAAGGAGTAGCTTTGTGGCTGGGTGGCAGGATTCATGGGTCTTTGTTGTGGCTTTGGGTGGGAGGGTGGGTAAGGCAGAGAAGCAGGGTCTCAGGCTTCAAAGCACCTCCCCACCTGCTCTCCCTCCCTCTGAGGAAATCTTCAGGGGCCTAGTGGTTTTGAGGGGAGGGGACAGGAAGAGACTCTAAACTCTGGGTCAGCCAAGGACAGAGGTGGTGGAGATCTTCTTGCCCTATATCCCATTTCTCTCAGCATCCTGTTCTTGTGCTCCCCACCACCCTAGGACAAATATCTACCCCCACCTGCAGGATGATGAGTTCCATCCCCCATACCAAGACCTCCAGAGGTCTCCCAGAGTGATGGGCTTTGAAACGGTAGTTGGGACACCGAAGCTGTAGCCCAGACCACACCTGCCCGGTGGCACGAGGAGAGCGCCTCTCCCCAGGGCGGGGGGTAGGGGGAGCCGAGCCTGCTCCGCTCGGGCTGGGGGCCCTGTGATACTGGAAACGCAGGGGCGACCAGGCAGAGGGATGCGCAAACGGGCCACGTGGAGGTCCCGCGCGGCAGGCAGGAGCGGGAGCCGGGGAGCCGGCTGTGCGCCCGCCTTCCCCCTCCAACCCCCCCACCCCCAGTTCGAGGGAGCCTCCGAGAGTCGGGTCGTCGCTGACCGCAGGCTGCAAGAGCGGTTGATCTGGTGAGCGAGCACACCCACTTACCCAGCTGCTGAGTCAGGCTGTTCTCGCTCCCCGCTCGCCCGCCCGCTCGGGACATTGTGTTCCAGCCCCGGCGCGCTGGCACCGGGCCCAGGCGCTCACACCAGCCTCCTCGCCCTGTTTGTGCTCGCGGCTTGCGCTCGGCGCGCAGCCTCCCCGCCGACGCGGTCTCGCCGCCGCCGCAGCCCTGCAAGTGCGCGCTGGGGCCCGGCCAGGGGCGGCCGAGGGCCGGTGCGGAGCCCCGGGGACGCGCGCCCTGCCGGGAGTGGGGGTAGGGAGAGCCCTCCAGCCTTACAGCACTCAGACCTCTCCATCCCCCACCTGCACCCCGCTGTAGCAGCGCAGGCGTGTGCGGGGCCCAAGTAGCACAGTTGTGGGGGTAGGCAGGTGCTGGTAGCTCCCCGAGGGAAAAGGAGCAGCCCGAGCTGCCGCCCGAGCCCCACCAGCGCTCGGTACGGTCTGGAGGAGAGCGGCGAACGCGCCAGCCCCACACTTGGAAAACCTGGGACGCGGTCACGTGACAACGGAAGCCCGCTGGAGGGGGCCAATGCGCGCGATCCCCCGGAGGAGCCTCCTCGTGCCTCGGACCCCTTCCCCGACCGCTCTTCACACCAGCCTGGAGACTCCAGGGATTCCCAGGGGCTGGCGAACCAAGCCCGGCCCTCTGGGACAGCTTGGGAAACCCCTGGCGGGACGCCAGGAGTACGAAGAGCCCGGGAGTGGACGGCGAGGTGGAGGAGAGGACCCCAAACTGGATCCTGACCCCTCCCTTTGTTCCAGCCCCAAACCCGGATTTACTCAGAGCCACGTTTTCTCTTTACCCATCCGTCTACAGAAGGACGTCATCGAGTGCAGTTCCTGAAGGTTCCACGTCTCCAAACCGAGCCGGGGACAAAGGGCTTGTCTCCCGAGCACCTACCATATGGAAGGCTCTGTGAGGTCCTGCTAAGGACGTCATTAGAAAGTTGAAGACACAGTTCCGAGAGCCCTTTCATCTCCCTCCTTCCCACCTCGGCAGAGTGCTGTGCCATTTCTCCTGCCCCGAGTGCCCATCCTCCTAGTCTACCCATCCTTAAGCCCCAACCCTTAAAGCCTGCTTGAAACAGCGCCAGCCAGATCTGATTCCTCTCCCCTCTGAATGCCCAGCATATTCAGTCTGTACCTTTCTCGCGGCACAGCCTGTGGCCTCATATTCTAGTGATCTGTTTACTAATCTTGTTCTTCTAACCAGATCAAAAAGTCCTTGAGGTCCTTGAGGCAGAAACAAAGTCTGCCTTTTCGAGGCCTCCCCCCATCACTTGAGCTCATCCCCCACAGGCCAAGCTTGGCACTGGAGTTGATGTTCAGTAAATGTTGGGTGTATTGAAATGATTTCCTGCCCTTGGGCAGATTGCAGACCAGTGGAAGAGACAAACACAGAGCTCGTGAGGTTAAATAATAACCCAAGGCAGCAGGTGGTGAGTACCAAACGTTAAGAGCTATAGGGACTCAGGAAGGAGGTGGTGATATGGGAGAAAGATCCCAGGAGGTTCTAGGCCTTGAGCTGCGTGTGCGGAGGAGGAGAGACGAGGCGTGGAGGTGACTCATGCTGGTTGACATCACCATAAGCCAGCCTCCGTGCTAGCCACTTTCCATGCATTATCTCTAATATTTCGATGGGGGGAGGAGGGTAGGTTTGGAAGGAGTGGAGGGGCTGGTGCCCAAGCCAGACTTGCCCAGAGGTAACCAGAGCACAGAGGCATCCTGGGATCTGAGCTCCCCACCCTCCATTCCCGGGCACTGCCTGTTCCCTGGCCTGCCACGCCTGCACAGTACACCCAAGAGAGCTGCCCAGCACTGCCCAGCTCTGGATGCACTCTGGTCCCACCCCGGTGAACAGCTGCCTGTGTGATCTTGGGCAAGACACTCCCTTCCCTACACCTCACTGCCATCTGGACCTTCCTTGCAGCACTTAGGCTTACAGGCTGGGACTCTGTGAGTTAGTGTTCCCAGTGATGATGGCCACCTCCCTGTGTTACCTGGGCTGCTGTGGCTGCCTACATCCACCCTCCCCACCTCCCCACCCCCCCACCCCCGCCGCCAGCCCTCTCACCCTCCCCCACTCACGGCTCCCTCCCTGTCTGGAGCTGCTGAGAGGAACACTGGGTACAGAGTGTGAGCCGGGATAGTAGGTTTCCTGTGGTTGCAAAAGGAACATCGGGACTTTCCCTGTGGTGCCCGAGCTGTGGGAGAAGTGGGGGAGGAGGAGGCAGGGCCAACCTCGAAGGAACCTCTGCTTCTCTTCCCTCCCCTCCACAGGGCTCCCAGCTCTCCAAAAGGCTGGTACAGTTTGTTACGCTGGGGCCGGAATGTACCGTGTGTTTCATATGGCCTCTGTCCAGTCCAACACCGGCTGCTTTATATTTATACTTCCTTCTTCAGCTGTGGCATCCTGCTGGCAGTCAGTCACCCCTGCTCTCATCTGCCCACCTCCCACCTGGGCCCTGCACCCCACCATGAGTCAGTCCTTGGGTTCTAAACTTTTGTGAGAGGGTGGAGTGGGGTGCAGAGAACACCCTGGAAGACAGAAGTCGGACTCCAAAAGGGTAAAAGCCCCAGTCCCTGTTCTCTCTTCTATCACCCAGCCCTGCAACAGCCTCCGAGGTCATGGACCCTCCAGTTTGGGTCTGATGGTTCTCTGGGGCCTTGAGGTTGATCCTCCGTTCCTTGCCCCTCTTGTTTACCCAAGCACTTCAGAAATATTCTTGAGCCTGGCTGGACAAATGAGCAACAGACTCTATTTATGTTGCCTCCCCAAAAGCTTGGCAGACCTCTTAATCCATGATCCTCCCCCATCAGTCATAGAGAACACGGCAGAGTTGGGGTGGGCGGGAGATTGGAATCCCCCCCCACCACCAGGAATCACACATTCCTAATAGAAGCTGCAAAATGGAATTTGACACTTGGTGACTTAATGATTTTCTGAGTCATGACCAGTTTAACTTCCTCAAAGTGGCTTCAATGTTCAGAGATTGATCTGGCCTTCCTCCCCCGGTAGCCTGTGATATTATTATTCACAATAATAGCGAATATCGATTGCTACCGAGGACCAAGCGTTGGGCTCTGGGCTTTATACACACAAGCTCATTTACTCTTTGCAACAGCTCTGGGAGGTGGATGCTATTGTTAGCCTCCTTTGACACTTAAGGAAACTGAGGCTCAGAGAAGTGACAGAACTAGGATTCACGTTTAATTCTACCATCAGTGCCAGTATTTCTGTTCTGCCAGATTGCTTAGATCATGTGTCTAAATTGTAAATCCTCCATTTCTCAGGCCTCCATTTCTCAGAGTCTTATTCCCTTCGTCCTCAAATGATTCCAGGAACTCTGCCTCCTTGGAGTTCATACGGCTTGCGGTATAATCTGATAGCCAGAAAACTGTTTTCAGCCCATTTGACAGGCTGAAGTGTAGAGGCCCCAGAGGACACTCAGTGGTGGGGCTGGATGGTCAGGTTTGTTGGCTGAGGGCATCCTTAGTTGTCTCTCAGCCAGCTGGCATGCATGCCACCACCACTCATCCCCTCACCTGGGAATAAACTTTGCCTTGTCGTATTGATCTGGTATCAAATCCAAAAAACCAGAGGCTGAGTCTCTGAACTTGGGTCTGTCTGCAGCACTCGGTGACATAGGGGCATGTGAACTTAGGTTCCTCCCTTAGGACCCATGCACAGCTGGACTTCAGGAGAAATCACCACTGTTAGGTCAATCCCTGGCATTTGTATTGGACTGTGTACATTTCCCTGACATGTCCTAACTCAGTGTGATCTTAACGTTCCTCTAAAGAAAGAATAGTACTTGCCTTCCTGATGGGCAAACAGGCAAGAGCGGCTCAGTTGCTCACCCAAGGGCAAGAAGCTAGGTTTGTGACTGTGATATCTTGGGTGCCGTGTTTCATAACACAGGGCCTCTTCTGAGCTAAGAGAGGAAGAGTTTCTCAAGATGTCCCCAAAATCTCGTGACATGTGTCCTTTCATCCAGCCCTACCACCGGGGGAAGGGACCAGAGCACCACATTGCCCGCACCACCCTTATCTACCCCCAGAGGCTGAAGCAAGTGCACCAGACATCCTGTAGTGAGTCGGCCTGTCCCAGTCTCTGGCTTCCTGTCTTCTGCGGCTCTCATGGGCACATTTTGTCCCCTCGGAGCCCAGTTCTTCCTCTTTCATCCTTCTCTCTGTCTTTGCTGAGAGCCCTGTTTATATGCCTCCATCCATCTGTGTTTGCTTTTCATTTTTGTTGTTTACGTGTTCATTCTCCGGGAAGTGTCCTAGGGTCCCCTCTGACACCGACTTGTTTCCAAGGAAGCCATTCCTAACCCTACCTTACCCCTTTCCTCCACCTTCTGCCAGTGTCAGACTGCTGAGCTTCATGCATTAATGAGGTACTTAATGAGCACCTACTGTGTGTTCCAGGAATTGGGTTATTTCCTCAGGACCCAAAGTCTAAAAGCTGTGTCTGAGCATCTATTAATCGCCTACTGTATGCACCGGGCACCGTGCTTCATCCTGGGGTGCACCAAACCTAGTCACTGCCCTCAAGAGATCTCTGGGCTACTTGGGAAGCTGAACAAAAATACATCATTACACTGCCTGGGAAGTTGGGGACTGGGTGTGTCCAGAGGGGTCAGGGAGGACCCCTCTGATCTGAGAGGAGTTAGCCAGGCAGAGCCAGGGTGCAGGATGTTCCAGGTAGAAGTAGTGTCTATAAAGGTACACTGGTGTGAAGCAGACTGTGTTTTCCAGTGGGCACTTTGAGTTGTTTGGTCTGGCCTGGACATGGAGTGCAGGTTGGGGAACCCAGGGAGACGAGGCCAGAGACAGGCAGGCCCAGATGGTGCAGAACCTCATGTTCCAGTAAAAGGGTTGACCTTTATCCTGGAGCAGCCAGAAGCCCAAGCAGCCTCATGGCTCCCTGCAGCCTGGGAGCTCCAGAGCTGGGCCTGGGCCAGGCCCAAAACCCTCTCTCGAGCCCTCAGTAACCCACATTTACTGGGGAGCCTGGGTGGCTCAGTCGTTAAGCGTCTGTCTGCTTTTGCCTCAGGTCATGATCCCAGGGTCCTGGGATCAAACCCCGCATGGCATTGGGCTCCCTGCTCAGTGGGAAGGCTGCTTCTCCCTCTCCTACTCCCCCTGCTTGTGTTCCCTCTCTCGCTGTGTCTCTTTCTGTCAAATAAATAAATAAAACCTTTAAAAAAAAAACCACCCCACATTTACTGCCCTTTGGCTTAGTGAGGCCTGTGAGAGAGTCAGACACTGGAAAATAATGCTGGTTTTAAAATTTAATTTAATTTAATTTATTTATTTGACAGACAGAATAATGTTGGTTTTAAAGCACAATCATTCATTCATTCATTCATTCATTCATAAATATTTAGGAAGCTCTGATGTTTGCCAGGCGCTGCTTTGAGCATTAGGAATGGGTCCTTAAACCCTACAGAGATCCCAGCTCTCAAGAAACTTACATCCTTGGCAGCTGGAAAGGGAGGATAGGCCATAAACAGAAAAACAAATGAAACAAATAAATTAGCAAGATAATTTCAGATTGTAAAAACAGAGTGCTGCTGTTGGGGGTAATGGGGTAGTTTGGGTAGTCAGGGAAGGCTGCGCTAAAGAAGGTTACATTTGAGCTGAGACTGAGATGACAAGAACAAACTGGTATGTGAACATCTGGGGCTGAAGATTCCAGGCACAGGAAACAGCACATGCAAAGGCCCTGAGGCAGTAAGGAGCTTAGAGTTTTCCAGGTTTAGAAAAAATGCTGGGTTCAACTTTATTACTC